GGAACCGCCTCTCAAAAGTATGGAAGACAGTATGGCGAGTCCTCAAAGAACTCAAAACAGAATTACCATTTCAACCCAGCAATCCTCCTACTAGGAATCTACCCAAAGAAAAGAAATCACTGTATAAAAAAGATACCTGTATTCATGTGTTCATTGCAGCACTATTCACAATAGCAAAATCATAGAACCTACCTAAGTGCCCATCCACGAATGACTGGATAAAGGAAGTGTGGTATATATACACCGTGGAATACTATGCAGCCATGAAAAAGAACTAAATCATGTCCTCTGCAGCAAACATGGATGGAGCTGGAGATCATCATCCTAAGTGAACTGACTCAGAAACAGAAAACCAAACACTGCATGTGCTCATGTATATGTGGAGCTAAATGACCACTAGGATGAAAATAACAGACACAAAGTGGGGCGGTGAAGAGAAGCTACAGGGTCCAGAAATTGCCTATTGGGTACAATGTTCGCTATCTGCATAAGGGGCCATCTGAAACCCAGCCCCCACCACTACACAATATGTTCATGTAACAAACATGCATTTGTATCCCTGAATCTAAAATAAAATAAAACCATTTTAAAAATGTAAAAGATGACTTCCTGTCATTGCCATTGTATTCCCAGCACCTCTTCTACAGGATAAAGCAAGGAAGTGGTATAGACCAAAGTTGTCTTCAGAGGTAGGTAAAGCAATGGGGGGGGATGTCAGGGGAGACTCTGCCACAATGACAGAGCAAAATCCAGAGCGTGAAGGGACCATCCAGCTGCGGCCTGCACATAGCCCTCTCCGCCCGCCTCCCAACCCTGCCCTAAATGCAATGCCACTCCAGCATTCATTCAGCCTCTGGTTGCAACGTGAATCCCAATACTAAGTTCACCCAGTTATCCGTATACATTTTGTCTATACATTTAAGAATTGCAAGGCTCTACGATAAAATGTCAAGATATTGCTTGATCCATGAATTATTTGGAGCCTTCTCCTGCCTGCAATTTCAATTCTAGCCCAGTGTTTCCCAAAGCAAGCCTGGTCTGGTCAGAATCTCCAGAACAGCTCGTTAAAAACGTGAATTCCCAGCTTATCCCAAACCACAGAATCAAAAGCTCTGAAGGAGGGGCCAGAGGAGTTGTATTTTTCACCCCCTCCCCTAATGATTCTTATGCACACCAAAGTCTGCGTGGATGTTATTATCTAGTTCTTGGAAAACCCAGCTACAGCAATTGTGTTATAACGGATTCTGCTTCAAGCACCCGCAAAAATCTTTCCTTCTCGTTATAATGAGCTTTCTCTAAAGCAACCCCCTTTGTCATCAAAACTGAAACATTTCTCATTATCTGGAGAATAACTCAGCCTGGCTTTTATGTGTTCTAGAATCCGCCTCAGTTTTCTAAACTTTCTCCTACTCGTGTTTTTAAAAGGTGGCCCAGCGTCTCTAACGGTATTAAGAGTCACCTGGCATGAACTTCTTTTTTGTTGTTGTTGTTTTTTTTTAAAGCCATGTTTATTTTAATGTGGACAAGTAAAAATTATAGCTACAATATCCAAACCTGTGATTTCACGAATAGTGAATTAAAAGAAAAGATGAATTAGAAAATAAAAGAGGACATAAATGAAAAGAAAAGACTCCTTTTTGTACGTAGTAAGTAAATCATAGCAGACGGTACTTGGATCAAAGTCTTGCATTGGGGAAACTTAGTCCATCTTGCTGCTTTCTAACAGGTCTGCTCAGTATCAGCCCTGCTTCTCCATTCTCTAACCCTGACCACAGGATCCTCTGCCTTTATTCCAGCAGCATCCATGCCCAGAACACTGTCCTCTCTTGTAGATGCCTCTTTAAATGTCACCTACCGTTTCATATCCAGCTCATGTCTCCTTCCAGGAGCCCTCCTGGATTCTCCCAGCTGTCCTAGCATACCCCCCTTTTCAATTCTTAACACTTTTTTTTTTTTTTTGAGTTGGAGTCTCACTCTGTTGCCCAGGCTGGAGTGCAGTGGCATGCTCCCGGCCACCACAGCCTCAACCTGCTAGGCTCCTGCGATCCTTCTGCCTCAGCCCTCCAAGCAGCCAGAACCACAGGTGTGCACCACCACACCCGGCTAATTTTTTGATTTATTGTAGAGACAAGGTCTTGCCAAGCTACCGGGATGGGTCTTGAACCTGCGGGCTCAGCCAATCCTCTCGCCTCCGCCTCCCAAAGTGCTGGGATTACAAGCTACACCATCAAGCACCGCCAATTCTTAACATATTTATGGTATTCATCATGAGGAACCTAACTGTTACTTAAGTGTCTCTATGGTACTCGTCATGAGGAACCTAACTGCTACTTAAGTGTCTCTATGTATCTACTTAGTGTCATTTCCCTAGTGCAATGGAAGCCCCTTGAGGGTAAACCAATGGCCTCTCTGCACCTCTGAATCGCCCGCAGTGCTAAGCTTCCCCGGTTGGATCTGAGCACAACACAGGAACTCCACGAATAGAAGTGAATTCGAAGTGCAGTTACATTCCCTGTTCTCACGATGAGAAAAGCTGCTGGCCCACGCTCTCTCCACATCCCCCAACGTCAGGCCTGATTTCTTAGCTGCACCTGAGAAACCCAGGAAAGTCGACCCAAAGGCACGATTCTGCAGGTGTGCCCTGGACCACAGGAAGGGAAAGGTGAACTTAGCCCCACTGCATCTTGTCTCTGTGTCCAAGGGCCAGTCACCTCGGCCAATACATCCCCACCCCTGGTCTAGAGGAACCAGAGTGCCCATGGCACCCTCTAGTGAAAACAGCACTAGATGGAGCAGTCAGAACCAGCTCCGCTGCCTGGTCTATCCTGGGACTTTGGGTTTGTCTGTGTCTCAGGTTTTTTAATCTGGCCAATACTTGTCATATCCATTCACAATTGCTATAAAGCAAAAGAACGATTTTTAAGCATTTTAAATTATCACACACAGGGACACCACATATGAACATGCAGGGAGAAGAGGCTGGGAGGCCAGACCAGCTGACTCTGTTCCCCATTAAAGTGGTCAGCCACAGGAGGTGAGGGCCCTACTTTCCACCCACCCTGGCTTATCATGTGATCTTGGGTGCCCTTAGCTTCTCTTGAACTCAATGTCCTTGTCTGTAAAACTTGCCCGAGCACTAGATGATGTCATCTAGGGTCAAGTCCAACATGAACTTGAGGACTTTAGAGGATGTAACCAAGCACGGGCTTCACCAGAAGTGAAGGGTAAAGGTGGTGCCTGAAGCACCCATATACCCCAGTGAAACATCACCAGAGATACACAGACACTCTCCCTCCACCCAGCATCTGTCCCGTGGATGAATGCAGACCTGCCGTTCCTCTTTCCTGCTCTCTGCCCCACTGTGTAAGCCCCATCTGCATACCCTGCAAGAGGCCTCCATGCCCCAGCAACCACAGTCAAGTTTTTCTTTGTTCTCTTCCCTTTCTTGTTCAAAAACGGCAACTTCACAATCTCGGGTTTTTAGTGTTGCGATCTGGCTCTGAAATTAGTTCTCCCTTCCACTCCCCTTCAGACATGCGCTACTTCCAGGAGTAAAAAGTCCAAAGGCCATGTGTGGGGAGGACGTGGGGAATGAGTGCGAGCTCTGCTGGCGGAAGGGAAGTGGAGGTGAGGGGCATCTGTGAAACGGACTGGAATGGCATTGAGTTCTTTGGGATTTCATTAAGGTTCGCCTGCTTTCTCCACGTGCAAGCCACACATCTCTTAGAGTTCCACGCATGTGGCTTGTTGGAGCTTCCCTGTGAGCCCTGTAACCATGGTTTCAGGCAGACTACATCACAGCCATGAGCATAAAAAGAACAGGCTTTTTTTTCCCTATTCTTCCCTAAAACTCCATGTCCTTGAAAAAATACGTTAGGTGACTTGCCAAGAGAATTCATCGCAACCTCTGACCCTAGGACACTCACAAAGTTATCTGGTTTTCAATAGACAGTGATTCCTCTATATCTCTCCATGAGGCTCGGAGCCCCGAAACCACCTCCACATTTACCAGAGCCACATTTGCTTGTGGTGGAAACATATAACAGATCTGAAAATTCAGACAACCATTTCCTAATTTAACACCTTCCTTCCAAGAAGAGCGAAACAACCAGCTTGCTTCTCTCTGCTTGTTCAAGTGCCAAGGTTGAATGAATTTGGTTTATACGGTACACAGAGACAAGGCCTATTTCCAAATCCTTAACATTTTTACAACATCGTCAATTAACAATTAACTCAACCTCAGACTTAGAAATAGTATTTCATTGCACGGTACCTCGACACTCAAAACAGAGAAGCAATGTAACTTTAAGATTCCAAGCACTGGCTTCCAATTAGCCACCAGCAGAGCCGTTTTTAAAACACAGCATTTTTTTCTGGATGGATGGGCAATGAACTGGACACAACAAGAAACCTCGACTGAGGTTTCTGGGACCCTAGAGGTGACACTGGAGGAGAACACATTTTTTTTTTCTCCTTGTATGTCAGAAGCTGAGCTGACCACCATGCAGTGGAACAGAGTCCAGCAAGCTTCCACCCGGAGGGAAAAATCAAGCAACCCAGTCACCGGGCTTCGCATGACAAAGCCAGGACGTGGAGAAGCCTTCAGGCAAAGGCTCCACGTGCCTTTCCAAGGACGGAGGCACCCACCCACACACACACAGCCCACCAGGCACCGCGGAAGCGCGGGGTCTTCTGCCAGCCTGCAGCACCACTGCCCTGGCTCTCCCAGCCTGCCGGCCCCTCGGCACTCTCCACCGCCTGGAGGGTACGAAAGGCTCCGTGCCTCTAAGTCCCATCTTCCGCGCCCCAACATCTTTTCCCCACCAACCACGAAGTGAAGCGTGCACCCCCAAGGACACCGGGCCCCACACGCACTCACATTGCCCAGTGGGCGCTAAGTCCCCGAGCCCAGTGCCCAGGACCAATGCCCAGGCCGGCGAGTCTCTCCCCGGAAACCCCGCAACCGGGCTCCCTCACCGACCGGGAGGCGCCGGACTCACCCAGTCCTCGAAGTGGCGGCTCCCGTTCTGCAGAAGCTCCTCGAACTGGATGGTGCAGTTGGCCACGAAGTCGTCGTAGCCGATGGGGGCATCGTGAAAGACGGCCAGCTCGATCTTCCGACCGTTGCACACATCGGTGACGAACTCGTCGTGCCAGGCCGGGCTGTTGGTCTTCTGCTTGGTGGCCGTCTGGCCGATGCGCGAGTCGTCCACGTTGAGGGCGATGTAGGGGTCGAGAAGGAAAGTCTGCGGCCGGGGTCCCACCGCATGGCGCAGCGACCAGGCTGTGGGCTTCAGGCTCACGGCCTCGCAGATTTTGATCTTAAGAAGGCCATTGAACACTACCATGGTCGGGGCGGGGAGCGGGGCCGGGGTCACTCCGTCCGCCCCGAGGGCAGGAATGAAGAACCGACGGCCCGGCGCTCCGAGCACGGGAACTCCTGGGTCCCCACTCGCCCCACCCCACGCTCGCCCTACACCTTGTGGCGCTGCGCCCTGGCGCGGGCGATTCTCAACGCGTGCATGTATTTCTTCGCCCGGTTCCTAACGGA